TCACCTCCCTACCCAATCCGTTGTTTAGGGTGTTTAAGGGTCTAAAGGAGTATACAGGTACTCAAACCATATCCATTCTCATTTACTCAGCGATAGCTTCCCAGCACCCTGGATCACCTCTGTAACCCTTGCCGTTGTTTAGGGATGTATTTAAGGGTCTATAAGGGGTATGAAAATATTCATACCATACCCAGTCTAATTTAGTAATTTACTCTGTGATGTTTCCACAGCACCCTTAATAAATCTGCAACCATGTACTGTTGCTTCAATATTTAAGAGGTATTTTACGGTTTTTTCGTGTCCTGACCCCTTATATGAACGCCACGTAGCCTAAGCCACGCAGGACCTCAAGACCTTTAACACACCTAAAAATTCCCCCAAACCCCTTGTGGTTACTGAGAAAAAGTGAACTTAAGTAGGTCTCTGGTTATGGTTTATGGTTTTACGGTATGAAAGTTGATTATAGCCCTGTGGCCTGCCCCCTTGTTTTCGGTTCAGTTGGATGGGGATTGTTTTTTTTTTTTTTTTTTTTTTTTGGGGGGGGGGCTCCCTGGCCAGGGCCCAAATTATTATTATTATCATCTTTTTCAATATTATCATCATCTCACCCTCGATCAGATCTGCCGCCTGGCCTACGAGCTCATGCAGACCCTCCACGCAGACGCCTCCAGAAAGGTCTTCTCCGTCGACTCACCTTATTGGTTCCACTACCAGAGCGGCCACGAGGTGGAGGCGAGGTTCCCCCACACGCCTCGCAGGTCACCACCTGTCTGTCTTTTTTTCATCTGTTTTAATTTCGTTCTTCTTTTTCCGTGTTTTTTTGTTTATGTGTGCCATTGCTCTCTGTCACTATGGTTCTCTATTGCTCTCTCTGTCACTGTCTCTTTGTTTCTCTTCTCTTCTCTCTCCCTCCCTCTCGGTCAGTCGCCATTTATGATGTCCTTAAAAGGCTTCCTGGATTTTTTCTCGCATTCGGATTTTGTTTCCGGGCCATCGTCATGGATGGTGTCCATCTTAACTACTTATTCTAAATTCATTTGTTGCTGATTAAAAGATGTCTGTCGCGGAGATGTCATCTTCCCACGACAAGGAAAATATGAATATAATTCTTCAGTGATGTCTGTTTGAAGATAAAAACGCCTACTTCGTCACGGAATGGATTTGTTAGGGCAAGGTCGTACATCAGAGCAGTGTCAACATAAACAAACTCCCTTTCACACTAGTCCATTCTCCACTCGATCGAACTGGGAAATTGACAACAAAACGCCTAAATTTCTATTCCGATTTCCAAATATATTCCACAAATTACCTAACTTTAGGCATGTAAATAGCCTCTCTGGGCACTAAATAATAATAATTACTTACAATCTTCGGCGTCATACACTTCTTGTAGGCAAAATCTCTATTTTAGGAGAAATACAAAACAACGCGTCTCGCGCTAACAGAACTTGGCAGGCCTACGAACGTAATCCTTTTGTACTTCTAGAAACCTAAACTCTGTGACATAATAACAATGTAAAGAAAAGTGTATCAAATAGATCTGGATTGTACAAATTAAACCCTTACTCTGACTCAAACGTAGAGTCAAAATACTGATTTACATATATAATCCTTAAACGCGTCAACAAAGAAAACGTAAATGAATTTAAGGCAGACTTGTAAATTCAATCATTTTATTTCTTCTACAATAATGTCATTGAACAAGAGATAGAAAAGATATTGAACCCACCATCAAAAATGCGAAAAAAAACAAAAAACACCTTCCCTCTGACCTGATAAAACCTATGATAATGGGGGGATTCAAGAAAAAACCCTCCCTTACCTCGCTCTACCCCCCTTCCCTAAATAAAATAACTTAGACCCCTCCCCTCAAACATACCCCCCCCCCCAGCCTCCCCTCTGACTTCTGATAGAGCCTCTAGCAATCCCCCCATTCGAAAACAAAAAGCAAAAAACAAAAAACAACAAAAAAACTCCCTTATCTCCCTCCCCCCCCCCTTCCCTAATAAAAATAAGAACTTTGACCCCTCCCCTCAAACATACCCTCCTCACCCCCCCCCCCAGCCTTCCCTCTGACCTCTCCTGATAAGGCCTCTAGCAATCCCCCAATTTAAGAAAAAAAACCTCCTTATCTCCCCTCCCCCTTCCCCCTTCCCCCAAAAAAACAAAAACTTACCCCTCCCCTCAAACATCCCCCACTCCCTCATCTGACCCTCTCCCTCTCTCCCCCGCCCCCTCAGGGACAGTGAAATCGAGCTGCAGAAGGGCGACCGCGTGAAGGAGGTCCTGAGGCACTACAGCAACAACCCCAACCTGCACGACGGCTTCATCCACGGGGTCAACCAGAGGACGAGAAAAGCCGGCTTGTACCCGATCTACAAGACGGTGGACGTCCTGCGGCTCGCGGACACGCCGCCCTTCGACGCCATCGACAGGAGGGACAAGTAAATGGGTCGAGGAGAGAGAGAGAGAGGAGAGAGAGAGGGGAGAGGAGAGAGGAGAGGAGAGAGGAAGAGGGAGAGGGGGAGGGGGAGAGGAGAGAGGGAAGAGGGAAGGAGGAGAGGGAAGAGGGGAGAGGAGAGAGGGGAGAGGGGAGAGGAGAGAGAGAGAGAGGAGAGAGGGAGAGGGGAGAGGGGAGAGAGGAGGGGTGGAATAGGGGGAAAGGGGAAAAGGGCTGGGAAGTTGGAATACAGAGCGAGAGAGAGAGAGGGAGGGAAGAAGGTAGGAGAAGATGGAAGGATGGAAGGATAGAAGGAAGGATGGAATGGATAGAAAGGAAGGATGGAAGGATAGAGAAGGATAGGGAAGGATGGAAGGTGATAGAAGGAAGGATGGAAGGATAGAAGGATAGAAGGAAGGATAGAAGGAAGGATGGAAGGATGGAGGGAGGAGGGAGGAGATAGAAGGATGGAAGGAAGGATGAAATGGATGGAAGGATGGGAAGAGATGGGAGAGGAGGGAAGGAGAGAGGAAGAGTGGAGAGAGAAGATAGAGAGAGAGAGAGAGATGAGAGAGAGAGAGGAGAGAGAAGAGAAAGAGAAAGAGAAAGAGAAAGAGAAGAGAAGAGAAAGAGAANGAGAGGGAGGAAGGGAAGTTTGAAGGAGGATGAGGGAGAGAGAGAGAGAGAGAGAAGAGATGAGAGACGAAGAGAGAGAGAGAGAGAGAGAGAGAGGAGAGAGAGAGAGAGAGAGAGGATGAGAGAGATGGAGAAGCGAGAGAGACGAGAGAGGGAAGTGAGGAGGGAGAGAGAGAGAGAGAAGACGGATGAGAGAGAGAGAGAGAGAGAGAGAGGAGAGAGAGAGAGAGAGAAGACAGAGAGAGAGAGAGAGAAGAAGGAATGATACAATTGACGAGAGGAGGAGAGAGAGAGAGAGGAGAGGGGAGAAAGGAGAAAACCAGATAAAATAGATAGAGAGAGAAGAGGTAGGGACAAAGATAGGAAGTAAGACAAAGAAAGAGAGAGAGAGAACGGGTGCGTTTACGCCAAACGAGTCATGGCAAAGCAACTCAAAGGAAATTATCACGAGTCAGGTGTCGCCTCAATATAGCACTGTTATCTATGGAAATCTCAAAACACCGTCTACAGCGGGTGAGTCGCCTCAGATAGCCGAGGCGCTTTCTTTGGGACTGGAAGCAAAACTGGAACTGGGCCTATTTTTGCCTTATTAGTCTCAGCGAGACATCCGTGGCATGATCCCTGTAGAAGTAGAATTCCTGATAAATTTAGTGAGAGAGCGTCATGAATATAGTGATCCCTAGTGACCACAGCCCACCGAGGTCGGTGACGCCATTAGTTTCTGTGGAAAGAGGTTGCTGCTGCAATGAATAACATAAGTAAAAAAAAAAACAGTTTTTTCATTTACTGTAATATCTGCAGTAGCCCTATAACTACAAACATACACTCCTAGATCAATCGATCTATTCGAAAGCTCCGGCTGGAGAAATAGATTATTCCCTCAATTTTTCATGAACATCCATAGATTTCTGCCTCAAGTCTCTCGTGTTTCTTGCCGCTGTCAGGCGAAAGGTGGGAATATAATTGAATTTGTTTTCTTTTTGAATGAAATTATAAAGTACACAAATCCTTTTCTTAAATATATTACTTTACGTTCCAAAATTATATTTTTTAAGTACACAAATCCTTGTCTTAAATATTTAACTTTTCATTCTAAAACAATATTTTTTTTTCTGGGTGGTTTAGCAGGTCAGGGAATAAAATGATCGAAGCTTCAAAAATCTGGCCTCTTGATGTTTAGTTCGTGAATCCATTTTAGTGTTCGCTTTCTACGTCTACGGCAACGACGAATCGCAGCAATGCAAGGCAACGTCAGCGAGAGGAAACTAGAACTATTCTCGGAATGAATCAGTGGGGTCACAGTGCGTGATTCGACTTCGCCTCTCTCGCCTCTCTCGCCTCACAAGCACGAAAAAAAAAAAAAAAAAAATCACATAACGGCTCATTAACGACTCGTCACACTCGACTCGCTTGGTGTAAACGCAGACTAAGGTTAAGGAGAGCGTCTAATCTGGGAGACAGAAGGAAGAATAAGAGAGAAAATAGAGAGAGAGAGAGAGAGATGAGAAGGAGGAAGAGAGGAGAGAGAGAGGGGGGAGGGGGGAAGAAGAGGCAGTTGGGGAGGGGCGGAGAGAAATAAGATAAAGAAAAAAAGCAAAAAAGGGGGGAAGAAAGGGCGGAAAAAAAATGAACTTAAAAGGGAAAATAAAAAAAAATGATATGAAAAAAAGTAATGCAAGAAATAAATAATAAAGAAAAAAAAAAGAGAAAAAAAATAAGAAAAAACAAAATATAAAAGCACAAGGAAAAAAAAGAAATAATAAAACAAAAAAAAAAGAAAATAAAGCAGACAGAAAGAAAAAAGAAAGAGAAGAACAAAAAAACAACAGAAAAAAAGAAGGACAAGATAAAATACAGGAACAAAGGACAAAATAAAAAAAAAAGAACAGAGAAAAAAAAGATTGATAAACAGAGAAAATAGAAT